TCACCACACTCTTCTACACACAAACACTTTGTTGATCGAGTGCAGTTTTTCCACCCACCACTTTAATAGACTTTAGAATAATCTCTCGCTCTCCTGGTCAGTCAATTGCACTGGTATACTGATGTGTCGAAGCATCAATGTCTCCGAAAAGACATCCCCGGGGAGTACACTTAGTGCATTGACTGACCAGGAGAGCGAGAGATTATTCTGAAGTCTAAGTGGTGGAAAAACTGCAAGTGTTTGTGTAGAAGAGTGCGGTGACTACATGTTCGAAGAAGTCCAGAGAACAGTGTAAGTAACATACTCTGAGTTGTGGGAGGGGGGCAGGAAGAGTGGGGAGGGGGGCACAAGTTCAAGGTTAGAGTGCTTTATATACTAAGTTTTTTGGCGGGAAAATTTAATCCAATTAATTAACCAGGTGAGGGTGCCAATTAATTTTTTTGGCGGGAAAATGGACTGAACAAGGAATTAGTGTGGAATTAATACAAAGACAAGTTTTGCGGGAGAATGCGGACATTGCGGGAGAATGTAAGTGTTAAGAAAGGTCTAAAGCGACAATTTGGGGGGCAATTTGGCATTCATACAAAGGAATTAATGCGGCCGGCTTAGATGCGAAGTTTTTCGGCGGGAGAATTTAAGTGTAAAGGTCTGAACTCTGAAGCAACAATTTAGCATTCAACCATACAATATGAAGAATTTTTCAGTGTTGCTTAACATGAAATTGAAGTTGCCGGCTACAATAAACGTTAAATGAAAAAAAGAGAAATATGAGTGCAAGTGTGTGCATGTGTAGTGTTGTCTCGTGTTAATAAAGAAACCATACTCACTCCTCCCCATCTTCTTTCACGCAGCCCTGCCTACAAAAGTCTGGTTCTACCTCCTGCTGCAGTCCAGTCTCTGGGTCCACATCTTGAAGACAAAGAAACAAAAGTCACTGTATTGACAACAGCAATTCAGGCCTTACTAATGCAAGATATTATGTCACGCAACATGCAAGTTTATGACAGTAAGAATGGAGCTAAATGCTGCCTGTAAAGGTCCAAAGCACAGTGCAGAAAGTGTGACATGCTGTATGCTGTGACATGCTAATGACTAAAAGTGCAATGTGGGACCAAGGAGGTTATACTGGAGACATTATACAATGTAAGTTAACCTCTTTTGTAGGACTAATTGTTTGAAGGGATTGTTGTGAAAAGGAGTCTATAAAAGTGTGACATACTATGCAATTGAAAGCTGTGAAAGCTTTAGTGACTGGATGACTGGATTATAGGATAGAAATTCATTAGCCTGGGTGTGTTGCTGAACAAATAAACTATACTCACAAGTTACAACTGTGCCCGCTGTCTTATTCGTTTTCTTCTGCATCTTCAAGTCAAATGGTTTGTTGAGCTGTCATCACAGGTTTCTCCCAGCCTGGACAGCCTCAGCCTCAGCACACACCTGAAAATAATATGAAAGGATGTGTGATGGAAAAACATCCCCAGGCAACACTGAATAAACAAACTACTGATCATTCAACTATCCCATTGATTGAATAGATTTTGAAAGAGTTAGGCTGCTTTTAAAAGTATTACAAAATGTATTGTACTTGCAGCATGTTAAACCTCAGAGTTCTTATATATGTGAGGCAAGAAATAAGTAAGTAAGGTAAAGATGATCTCTTGTATGCGACCTTTTACTTTGCCTCTTCCTAGAAATGTTGACAAGTGATCAAGAAGTCTAATATACTAGTCATTTATTCAAGTCAAAAGCAATACAAAATTAATGTGAAAGATGTTTTGCTACAAGTGTAAGTGTAATCTTTATAAAGTGTAAGACATAAGGGAAGAGTGCTAGAGCCAAACAGATCTTCAAAAGCAATCATTTATCTCACCTGTGGATGTTGTTTTAGTCATCTTGCTCTTGTGTCTCTAAATCACCCGATCTGGTCCAATCTTCTCTTGTCAGGTCCAGACAGGAGTCTTCAATACTGCATCAGTCAGCAGCCACCTAACTATACAAACATTAGAAGTTACATACTTGTCTTAAATAACAAGAAGTAGGTTAAATGCAAAATTCAGATTTTTCTCACCTGAGAGTCATCGTCAGTCTTCAAATCACATGGTCTGCTCCAATCTTCTCTTGTCAGGTTTACGAAGAATTCACCACTACTGCATCAGTCAGCAGCCACCTATCTATACAGACAGTAGAAATTACACACTTGTCTCAAATAACATCAATCCCAATTCCCAATATTTCAAATAGCTGTAGGTAAAATGCAGAATTGGGATTTTTCTTACCTGATATTCCTCTTGGGTCTTCAAATCATCTGGTCTGGTCTAGTCTGTCTTGTCAGGTACAGGCAGTAGTCCCCACTACTAGTACTGCATCAGTCAGCAGCCACCTACAGTACATGTGTACACGCATTAAAAGTTACACACTTGTCTCAAATAATACCAAGTAAATGGTAGTTAACATGCAGAATTGGAATTTTTCTCACCTGATACTAGTATTCCTCTTGGGTCTTCAAATCGTCTGGTCCAGTCTGTCTTGTCAGGTTCAGACAATAGTCTTTACTTACTGCATCAGTCAGCAGCCACCTATCTATACAGACATTAGAAGTTACACACTTGTCTCAAATAAGACCATACAGTTGTAGGTAAAATGCATAATTGGGATTTTTCTCACCTGATATTCCTCTTCAGTCTTCAAATCATCTGGTCCAATCTTCTCTTGTCAGGTTCAGACACTCCTATATAAGTCGGCAGCCACCTAACTATGCAGATATTAAACGTTACACACTTGTTTCAAATAATACCAAGTAAATGGTGGGTAAAATGAAGAATTGGAATTTTTCTCACCTGATATTCCTCTTGAGTCTTCAAATCATCTGATGTGGTCCAATCTGTCTTTTCAGGTTCAGACAGAAGTTCTCACTACTGCCACTACTGCATAAGCCATCATCTATTAAACCATACATACATTGAACACTTCTCTCAAATTAAAACAAAAACAAACTAGCAATGCACACACACACACCTTAAATTTATATAAAATATCTTTACTTTAAAACAAACACATACCTCGACGAAAACTGTACATATTCTGAACCTGAGCCTCAGAGGATGTGAATTTTTTTTGAGAACACCTCGCGTGGATGTCATCCATAAGTGCATAAAAAAATCCTGACCTGTTGCAGACCAAAACACCGCTTCTCTTGCAGTCAAGCTTATGGTGGATTCTTGGTGTCTTTTCTACCTACAAATTTACCTTCCTGAGCACTATGTGACGCGCATAACCCTGGATCCGGTCTTTCATAAACTCTGTTACCGCCCCCCTCCTCACTCGAAAATATTACCGGTCGTCCGTCTCCCCTCCTTCCAAATCTATCACCTTAATATCCATGTCATCCTCTACACAAACGGTACAGTTTTAAACTATGGTGTCCCCTCTGTATGCTATCGGCCTCGGAACACTTTTGTTTTACATTGAAACGCATAGAATTTGACCAAAACACAAAGGACAACAACAAACCTCGCAAGAATTACGAGTCTTCTCGACACCACGCCGTTCTTCCCGCCATTTCTTGTTTCTTCACCCAGCCAGGAAATACTAATTTTCTCCCTCAAATATCCGAAGAACCGCATAAATCCTACCTGGAAACGTTCAGACGATATACTTCACACTTCAGACGGATAATTTACGGACAAAAAGCCGAAAATTTACCCCAAAAGTTGGAGAGAATTCACGCACGACACGCCACGCGACAGCGCTCGTCACACATCTGTGCTGCACCTGGCCGAACGGACCGTACCATGTGTGATAATTACATAGGGGTGCGAATGAGATTAATCATTATTGCTTTCGATAATTAACCATCACCATACCGCCACCAATCAAAAGTAATTTATTATCGCCGTACAGTTTTTTACTTGTTTTCTGTGCTAGACCCAACGATCAGGATACCTTCTGCCATAGCAAGTTTTACTTCCGCAAACTTGTGGATGCCCCCCATTTGTTAATTATAAGTGTGGATCTCTCCTTGGTGCTGAACTCACCATCAGTTCCAAGTATTAAGCATTACAGTTGTCAGGGGTACCAAAGAATTTATCAGAATTTTACGGAATTCATACGATCCTTACTAGGAAACATACGAAGTTTACGGAATATATAGAATCCTTACTAGAAACATACGAAGTTTACGGAATGCATACGATCAATAATTACTAGAAACATACGAAGTTTACGGAATGCATACGATCAATTACGCGGAATACATACGATTCTTACTAATTTAATTTGGTGACTTGCACTACGATTACGTGACATCGGCAGCAAATTAAAGATGGAGGACTATTATGGCAATGTTCTCCCTACAATATCTTGGTTTCAAAGACTTTTAAGGGCTTTTATCTCAACAAAATTCAGATTATCTACAATAGTCCGGAGGGTACCAAAGACAATGTCAAGTACAACGTACCAAAGCGGACGTGGCGCGCATTCCTGTGTGGAATTCTTACACGTTGTTCTTCCCTTCCATGCACACTCGCTATCTTGGAACGGCGTGGTACACACACTTGCACCTGTTAATAATGAGTAAGATTTGAATAATGTAATTAGGTCTATATTAGATTGACAGCAGTCCAATAGACAGGGACCAATCATTCAAGCCTGAAAAATGATTTCATTCTGATTTTTATCTTAAGAATTTGATCCTGATTTTCCCTATATCATTCAACTTCACGAATCAAGTGCACACCATGATAATTTTCAATAAATCAATTTTCAATAAATCATCTTTGTTTGCAGATTTTATTGCCCTCGCTCGTTCTACTTGCCTTTATTCTGCAACGACCATTGTTCGAAAAGTTGTTCTGGAACCGCAATACTCCCGGTGTTCCAGACTAGCAACGGCGTTCGATGCGGTTTGTTTACATTCTCGACTGACTCCGCGAGCGACGGACGCACCTTGAGCTGCTCCTCCCCTCAGTCCATATAGTTGAGAAATTTTCTGAGACAAGATGTCCAGACGACGTGGCCGGCGAAGGTTCCGGCGGTCTCGGGCTCGAGCCGCTACTTTCCCCACGTTCCCGGCCTCTGCTGTCCCCGCTGATCCACAGTACGGACGGCGGCGGCTGCTGACTGCCGTGCCCGCTGAGCCACAGTACGGACGGCGGCGGCTGCTGACAGTAGCTGTGATCTCGGTGTTGGTCCTGGTGGCTGTGACGACGGTGAGATTTCTACTTCATCACTTCACTTTATCCATATTATCATCGACCAATACAGATACTGATATGTCTACGTTACACTACTTTCATCCAGCTAATTTGAGAAAGTTTAGACGATACTTCAAAGACGATTTTAGACTCTTTAGAGATTTCCCCAAGTCAAATAACGATGGATGGATACTATGCTGTATTACTATGGAAGAATGTGTTTATTTCAGGTAGTCGCTCTGACTATCACTGTGCAGTCCTGGCCAGACACCCCTGGAGATGAGACTCCGGTCAAACTCCCCCCGTACCGAGCCTGGGGATATCGCCGAGCGGGAGTCGATTCCACCGATCCCGGCAAGACCACAGAGCACGTTCCCGACGACGTGATCACAACTGATTCTCCTCCAACCAACGGTCCCACGACTCCTTCCACAGACCAGGTGAAGACCGTCCCAGACCAGACTGACACGCCCGGATTTGACGACTGGGATTTCCTGAGTGGAGAGAAGCACTATGATGGCAACATCCCGGTGAGACGCCGCATTGAGGAAAACGGGCTTGATCCTTCCGAGGACGTGGAACCACCAGATGAGACCCCGGCGACTGAGTCTACCGAACCGAAGCTGAAACCGGACGCTTCTGTGGAAACCCAAGCGAAGGGCGACCTGAGAAACACGACGAATATGACTGCGGTGGACAATGTGCTCATCCTGAGTACTACAGAACTAAACCTGTACCTCAGCTCCGTCATGAACACAAACATGACAAGTCGGGAGAGGAGGCACCGCGTGATCAGGCGGATCAAACGCGTCCAGACCGTGGCGCTAGTGGTGGTGGGACTGTTAGTGGCCGGCTCGCTGGCACACAACCTCATGGCACAGATCACGTAGAGAGAACAGTTCCACAGGAACGTTTGTTGACTGTTATGTCGACATGTTCCTGATGAAGTTAGACTTCGCAGACCAACGATTCTCTGTTCCTTTTAACATTACCCATGCCAACATGACCTGTGTGTGAAAGGTGTTCAGCACCAAGGACAGGTGTTTAAGTGTGTAGTTTCATATACGCATCAAATACCATAAAACTTATATCACCCTTTAAGACAAATGACAATGTTGACAGCCTTGTAGTTTCATCTGTCATACCATACTTTATTGGCAAGTCATCAACAAAACATCTACTTTAGTTTGGAACTTTGGATACATATACAATGCCCATTATAAGAGAATAATATGCTCAATACTTTTGGTAATACATGTACATTGTATATACATGCAAATCAGCCACTTACCTATCTAGCATACTGTAAACATTATTTCGTGCTCACTGTTTTACCATTGAGAAGTGTACATGTACCACAGTGAGAAAGTGCTAAAGATCAGTAACAATTTTTTGACAATAAGAATGAAATGCCAAATGGTTTTAGTCTACTGCCAGTAGACAAAGTGTACAAATGTTCAGATGTACATCTATCCTAATGACAGCTTGTAAACAGTACCCCAGGAACTGTAATAGAATATATAGATTTAGACTACTGTCAAGCCTGTACTAGTGATCACCTCTAGCTACATGACAAAAACTATGGAGTTAGCTCCATGCAACAACCTAGTCATTGTAGCCACTTTTTGTTAGTCCCTTAGATTCTTTTTCCTGTTGACGTTCACATCATGAAGCTTGCCAATAGAGACCCCTTGTTTAATGTGACCATTTTTTCTTCTTCAAATTTCTTGAATGGTGAATAGATAAATTTGTTCTGCTCATTTTAGAATTTGCTGAGACCTCCTGCACATAAGAAGAACAAAGTAATGAAAACATTTCCTGAAATATGCTATTCTTCAGCATACAATGATAGTGCATGGGCCACCCAAAATACAGCTTCTATAATGACATCTATAAGTAGTATAAGATCATTTTTATGAGGCGTCACAGATACATACTTTCTTATGCAAATCTATGGAACTTTATGCACAGTCTATAACTAGTTACAGACTTAAAAGAGTGGACTGGTGTAACAGCCAACCAGATGGCCAGACTGGCGGAGGACCGCCAGCAGTGGAAGAACTTGGCCAAACATCATGCTGCCCCGACGGCTGACTAAGCTATGGGAGAGAGTGCGAGTGCTATAACTAGATCTATGCAGGATAATAATATATCTAGTATGTAGTATTGCTGAAGCGCCTGTTCCAGGCTCTAGTCCGGCAGCAGGTCGTCTCCCAGTTCTTCATCCCCAAACTCGTCCTCCGGCTGCTGGCCTCGCTGTCGGGCTGCCGTCTTAGGCCGCTCTGCTGCCGCGCCCAGGGGGTCAACATAGGAGGCATCTGGGGGGCACAATACATGATCTTGTAGTGATGATCTTTATTCATTTGGTAATTCAGCAGTTTTAAACTATGTAAAATAAATGTCAGCCACATAGTAAAGCACACCAGTTAGACCCAATTCTAGTTTAGTAACCTTGCATAGACAGTTGGTTTCTTGCAAATCCTTCTGAAGAAAATGTGACTTCTAGAAGTGTCACTGTTCATATTCTACTCATTTAATTTCTAGAGGAAAATGTTGACGAAAATTTAAGAGCAAACAACACACAAACTGTGTCCTACACATACCGACTTCCCTCCTGGTGGCTTCATAAGGCTCGTTGGAATCCGGGAGTCTCATCCGCCCACTGCCGCTGCGAGCACTGCCGCCACGGGACGCGCTCCCCGCACGGGCGCTGCCTCCTCTACTGCCCCCGCTACCGCCTCGACCTGAGTCTACACCAGTATGGAAAACATACCCTTATCACTATCAGACCATTCTATGCACAAGAAAAGGCAACATATATTTTCTAACACAAGTCCTAATAATAGCAACTCTTACAGTCATGTGAAAGAAATATTAAATCAATTTGCAGTGTATTCAGAGCTTGGAGTGTAGAATGGTGACATAAAAAAACATTGCACAAGACAAACTAACATTAAACAGATATCACCTGTAAACAGGGTACATATCTTTAGGTGACTTAACTCTAATGTAGCTGGCTTAAATCTAATAAATAGCGATTGATTTCTAATATAATAACTTGCTTTGCTTTATATCAATATGGATGGATGTTGCATGCATGATGAAAATTGATGAATTATTGTCAGAAAATGATTTGGTGATTTTTAAGCACTGATTTGAATCACGATGGATTAATGGTGGGACCAGAAACGATCAATTATGACGTTCTGGCCGAGCGGGATGGTTGCCATAGTTACCTGCAGAACTGGCCCTGTCTGCAATGTTACAGGCAGAAAAACACCCATGTTAGCACCAGGCAGGCATAACACTGCATATGACACGGCTAGGGGCTTGGTTAGACTTATACTTAAAGGCCCTTATTGTAAGATCAGCAACATTCAAATGATATTCTTTTAGGACAAACATATTGCACAATGAATTGCTATCAACCAGAAATAAGTTTTGAAAAGACTAGTCTATTATGTAGTTGTTGTTGATACATAGCTACGATGAGAACTTTTGCACAATGTATAAAAGTAAACCCCAAAAATTTTTGCAAAGATTTACATTATGAATATTATAGTTGTGATCAAGACTTTGTTTACATTGACCAAAGAAAAACTTAGGGTAAACAAACTTTTTTGCACAGCTCATAATGATGTTTCTTTTAAAATTTTTATCATATTGTTCACATTAAAGTGAGTGACAAGAAATACTGGATATTCAAGTTGCATCAGAAACCTTACATAGGGGCCTTTAAGAGAGTACCAAGTTGAGATTATTGTATTATTGTGAAGCATGAAGAGAAAACTACCTTTATGCTTCAATCCTACAAGCAGACCATGCAGGAAGGAGAAAAGCATAAATACAGATCATTGAAGGTGATGCAGAAGATTAAGTCAAAGATAAACTTCAAGTTCTGCAAAGTTTGGTTAAGTGTTAACATCACAGAAACAAATCGTAAACTTTAAAGTGTTATTCAAAAACAGCGGCTTATTGAATAGTACTTAGCAAAATAAGCAAGCCAAGCCCCTTAACAAAAAAAAGTTAGCATTGGACTTTAGTTGGCAATATTAAGGAAAGGTTTTAATTAGAGGAAAAACTTAAAGGAAATTACATGTACAAAATTGAAGAACTTCCTGTAGCAGTAAACCTAAAGATTTTCTTCGTTCTTTAATGAGTGTATAAAAAGTTTTCCATCTACTACATCATTCTTTTAGTATTGTAAAATTTTCTCCAATCAAATTGTTGAAATGACATGCTGTATGTAACGATGTACGCACCACTTCCGGCGCTGTGTTCACGGATACCACGCCCGCTGCCACGCCGAGACCCGCTACTGGCACGCTGAAATAAAATACACCAAGAAACAAACAAAATTTAACTCTGTGTCAAACAATTTCCATCATGATATAAGTTTTAAATCATATCTTATAGATAACACCAAGAGACCCTTTTTTTATTTTGTACAATTTCATGATTAGTAATGTTAGATTACAATATACACTGGGAACATGCATGTGTTAGTACCCATCATGCAGTGCACCCGACTTCCCATGAACCACTGGGTGATTAGTGAGAAAAGCCGACTCACTTCTCCCCGAGGAGAGCCGTCCTGCTGGAAACAGACAGACAACACTTAACACACACCACACAGGGTGGGGAGGGGAGGGAGGCAGACTGTGAGGGGAGGGGGGCGAAATGGGAGGAGGAGTCTTACTGTAAAGTCATTGACTTTTGCAGTGGTTTGTCATTGGTGGGAGGGGCATAAAAATACATTGGTGTAAAAAATGCAGTCGACTTCTTTCTGGTTTGGAGCTTCTTTGATTGAAGCCTGTAAAATTGATCTAGACTCGTGCACTTTTCCTTTCCAGTTCTATGAACATTCCCCTCTTTTACTGATTGATCATAAACTTTTGCTCCCCTCCATCCCAAAATACTCCCCATGGAACAACATGCAGAATCATGATTCTCTGAATTAGGATATGGCAATGACAGAATCATGCTTATATCCTTGACAATTAGTCTTTTGCAGAAAAATGGGTGACCTAAAAATGTGGAGATGAAACAGAAGACTTTATGTGACACTCTACAATGTACATGTATGTTGCAGGGTTAACAAAATATCAAGTCGCTAATAGTCATGATGCTATATTAGGTTTGGGTTAATACACATTAATTTAAAACTGGAACAGACATCAGCTCTGTAAAATTATATATAAACTAAGAAGTAAATAATTTTCTTGCTCATTGCCAAATTTTAATTCCAGCATTTTTCAATGTTTGACATAAAACATTACATAAGTGAGTACTAACACAAATATGCAATGGCTTTTATAGCCTTTAACTGTGTTATGAAACATTACCTGTTCTCTCAGCTCACGAGCCTTCTCTGCCTTCTTCAGTTTGGTGGCGTAATCCTGGGCCTCCTTCAGTCCAAGGTCGTTACAAAGTCGCACCAGGAAACGTAGACCTTGCGAAAAAAGATTTTCATGTTATGTGATATCAAAAGTACTAAGAATACTGGGTTTTCTCATGGTTATCAATAAGTCTGTCAATCAACTTCTAACTGATGTGTTATTTTCAAAGAATAATTGGCAGACTTATAGTAATTTAATCCCAAATATTAAATCCACTGAAAGATACTTTCATCATCACTTTGATAAGAGTTAACTTACATTCAACATTCTCAGGGAATTTACTGTGGATTTCCTTGTAGGTCTCAAGAGCCTGCTGGTAGTTACCTGGAAAGAAAGAGAAATAATCATATTAATCATACAAAAGAATCTTCCTGGACCATACGTGAAAGATTTGATCACAACATACAAATTCTACATATGTCCACATTATGAAGCACAGATCACAAATGTGAGTTTACAGTCCTTTGTCAAGTCGCTGACAAGTTTACTAAAAGTGTCCTAAAACAAGATCCTCACCACTTCTCCTGTGACAACTGGCCACCATCAGCTGCCATTTCACCTGGCTAGGTCTGCAGAAAAACAACCATCATAAACAACAGATGTACGTCTATGCAGTTATCTGTATCAATCAATGACATGTACATCAAATTTCAACTAGTCTTTTGCAATCATTGCATGTGCATGCATTATTATTAATATTCATGCCATCTTTATCTACAGGTTGATACATGTAAGTATGAGGCCCTCACTCAGCAAATTCTGCCAAAGAACCATAGAATGGTGACCTCTCACACAATTAAATTACAATATCTCTTACATTATACAAGGTTTTGTACATTGAAAATTGCACACTATGCATTGTTCAATCCTATTTCAAAAATAAGGCCTAGGCAAACTATATTACACTGTCACAGTAGTATCTAGTACCCTTAGTCTGGTTCTCCCCTCAGTACACACAGATAGTGCTGATGTAGTGGTAACATACACTACTGATGAATAAAACCTGGTCCAGTACTCACTGAATAACTGCAGCTCGTTCGAAGTAGTGGATAGCCTTCTCACAGAACTGGGAGTCTATGTAGTAGGCACCCAGCCACTCTATTATCTCAATGTTGGAGGGGAAATATCTGAAGGACTGGAAAGAAAAACACAAACTCAGAACACCTGTAGAGGAACTGTTGTAAGTAATGTTGAAGCACACAATACTGCAGAATTGTTACTGATGATGTTGTCTTCATGTAGATCTCCAACTTTTTCAGTTCAGTTCAAAATCAACTAATATGTACACAGAAATTGCTACATGGAATTTGTTGAATGTTACAAACAATAATAATAAAAGTACTTTTAATACCCCTCAAAAAAAATTTTCTGCTAAATTTTCCTCAACATGTACACCTAACAGGTATGGAATTATGTATTCTGTAACCTATGATTTGCCAAAAATTGCCAAGACCACAAATAATGAAAGATCCCTTTATGTGCTTCTCATTTCTTCTGTCAATCCCCCAGCCTTACCTCGTAGTGGTACTGGAAGGCCTGAGTTTTGTCGCCCTCATTGTCGTAGATCTCTCCCAGTCGGGCCAGGATAAAGGCATCAGTAGGGACCACCCCTATAAGCTGCATGAACCATTCCGTTGCCTGCGCTGTGTCCTCAAGAAGGTCGTATCTGGCACTGGTCAAGGTCATATTCCACCCTTCTTAATTAGCCACGTTTTTATACATCTTCTAACCCGTGATGTGTATCTCTATCTGTACCTGTATAGCCCTTTGGCATAACATGCCAGCATGTATATCAAAAATAAAAAGTTAACATCATTCAAATCAAAGTCCTAAAATAATGTTACATTAAAGAACTAAATGTTAAAACAAAAACTCTCCATATCCAACCTCAAGCATTGTTTCAAACTATCTTAACCGTCTCCTTGCTACCTAACCCTATAACAAATACCTATGTGGTGCCAAATGGCCTGGCTTAGTAGGTTGAGAGGATACAGGTCAGCTATCTGGTAGATAACCTGGGCACTGTTCCTCAAGATGGCGTGTAACTTAAGGAAACAGTCCAAGGCATCTTCTAGACGTCCCAGCTTCTTGTAGGTCAGACCTGGGAGATATGGAACACAAAAGAGTTAAATCAAAATAACAAGAGAGATCAAAGATCATTCCAATCCAATCAGTTCATTCATCCTACTTCAATCCAGTCAATCAATCAATCCAATCCAATCCAATCAACCCAATAATTGTTAAGTGTTTGAATTTAGAACAATTGCTGACCTAAATTGTAGAGAGCCTCAGTACAGGTAGAGTCATTCCGTAGTGCCTCCTGGTAGAACTCCCGAGCTCGCTCATGTTCACTCTGCATGAACACACAGTTCCCCTTGTTCACCAGGGCTGGAGGTAATGATAAAGAAAAGGTGAGGAAAATTTTAAACAGAAAGGCTGGCACACACAAAAATTGGACTGTATCTAAAAGACTGTATTATTCAAATATGTTCAACAATAGTATAATACAGCCTGGGCAATGAAACACTACTAACTTTAGTTTGAAAGCAAGCTGCTAGAGGACCTAAAACAAAATCTGTTATTCCTCATGGCCAAGGCATACCCTCCAGGAAAAGCACAGCATGAAAATCTAATCAATATCTTTACACAGCACACAATGAAAGATGGTGAAAACAATGAATATTCAATGATTTCTAGTTTTGGTAATGACTAGAATGAAGCAGAAATTTTCTTGTGTATCACAATAACGCAAACACCTGTGTTTCCAACTCACCTGAGGGGTTGTACCTGTCTGCTGTCATGGCAACCTCAGCGTACTTGTCTGCCTGGCCAATCTCATTCTCCTACAGATGTAACAACCACAGATCTCATGTGAGTCATTCTGCTACTTATACTCTATATATTCATGTAGATAATAGAACATAAAATCTGACATTTTTTACTTCTCGGAAGTATGTTGAATTTTTGTGACAGTCACGTTCACAGTCTTTCAGGTTTTTGTGAAAAATTTTACAGTTGACATACAGCTTACGGATTACAACAGTAACTGTTACTTTATGTCTTCATGCTTCTTGAGAAAGTTTCCTTAGATTTACCAAGAAGTACAGGAATGAGAGGTTGGTGGCAGCAGTGGAGGCCACCTTGGAGTCCTTCTTCTCAAACGACTTGAGTGTTTCAACAGCCTAAAGCAAGGGAAAGTTCATATTATAAATATACCAGCGCAAACACTTCAAGTTTCTACTGTCAAATTTAAACATAGAATGGCAGACAAATGCCATATCATTCAAACTGAAAACTGTCAATTATATAGTGTATATATTATGTATAATCAAGTTAAATGCTGTCAACAAGTTACTACATGTAGTTCTGTCTTGAAAGATTATAACTTGACTGTAACAGGTCAAAATTTTTTAAACAAGTTAGAGAAGAAGTGAAAGAACTAGTTGGGTGGGGAAACAGACAACATGCACAGTTGGTTCAAAATAAGTGTATGCTCTAATGTGCTAATGTGAGTAACGTGCAGCTTTAAAATCCTGGCCTGAACATATTCCAATTCTTAACTACATGTATAATATACAGTACAGTTTTTAGTATGCTTTTGCTAGTGCTTCGACCAATATCTACATTGTAGCTTATGTATCTGTGTCCATCAAGCGACTTCTTCCTAATTGTAGCAAGCAGTTAGAAGACAAAATCGAAGGCAGGCAAGGCTTCAACTGATGTACACAAGGCATTATCATTTGTCATGCAACTTTCTTGTATGACAGAACCTAATGGGTACAAAACGGAGTCATTAGACACAGTGGGAACACCAGAAATATCACACAGATACACATAGTATTTTTCTCTCCCTCTTCTGAAAAATACGGGTATGTTGGATATATCACGTATGATAATAGGTCTTTTCATGCAGGCAACATGATTGTCACATTGTCATGCTTCTAAGATGTTATTTTGGCTCTGTAACTTCCTCCTTCTGTCTTGGTTTGGAACATCATTTGTCTAGTTTACTAAATTAAATCATAATGATGACAGAAAATGTAACTCTTCATGTCAGGAGGGAAATTCTAGTAGAATAATGACAGTTCAGAGGTCAGAGTTGAAAAATTAAGGAAAAGACGTCCAAAGGCTGAAATGGAAGGAAAGGGTCATCAGGCCTGTCAATGAAAGGTCGGGAAGGGTCGGGGGTTAAAGGTCAACCACCACCACACCTGGTTGAAGTCCTTCTGCTTCAGGTACATGATGGCTTTGTTGATCTCAAGGTCGTTGGCCATCTCAAGGAAAGTGGACGTCTTCACCTGCTCAACACACCTGGGAACACAGGTGAGAATCATGGTAACGTAAGGTCAACAACCTCAAGGTCATTGGGCATCTCAAGGTCACTGGCTGCATCAAGGTCAGTGTTCATCAGGAAAACGGACGACTTCACCTGCTCAACACAGCTGAGAATACAGGTTAGAATCATAAGTTAAACGACTTCAAGGTCGTTGGGCATCAAGGTCAAAGTCTGCCTAAAGGTCATCTCCATAAAACTGCATGATCGACACCTATTTCCTGAATAAGAAAGGGTAAAGATGACAAACATTTGTCGTCAGTTCGTGGGAACATGTGATGGTCTCCTATTCCACCAGATCGCCATGTGTGTGAGTGTGTGAATGTGTGGTGTGCCGCGGTGACGTAAAGCAACGACAGTGGCCGCGTGGGAGCGACTGTGCTTCGTGTTAGTCACAACACCCCACCGTCACCCATCCCGAATGACAACCAACGAGCAGAGAGCTACGGTGAGCAAACCTCTTCCAGGTTCTTCCTGCGCAGGTAGGTCATGGCCTTGTGCATTTCGAGCTCCTGAGCGAGCTCACAAACCAGAGAGTGTTTCACATGGTCCACACACCTGCAGCAGAAACATACAGTCATTCTCGCCCGCAAAATGCTTCAAAATCTTTTCCAAAACACAGACTCAACATGAGATACTTTAAACATCTTGTTTTTGAAAATCATGATGCTAGAAATCTGGAATGATTTAAAAAAATCATATATCACCTTCAAGTTAAAATCTAATCAACTGCATTTAACTACTGTATCATCAAACTCTAGTGCATTACAACTCTATAATTTGGTATTAAGCATATATTATATTTGTTGCCAATAAAATGATTTTCTAGCTACATGTAGTCTTTATTACATTATAGGAGAGACAGAGTCTTTGATTTTTATGTATTGCAGAACAGAAATCAAAGACACATGATGACATATGTCCTGTACAGAGACAATATTTACCAGTCATAACCAGCTGCAAAGGAGCTCTCGATGGCAGGGGCGATCACCTTAGCTGCTGCCATGATGCACTTCTCAGCGTACGTTTTCCTAGAGGAGACATCAAGATAGAAAATCATCTATCTATTCAATGTATTTCCTGAAGAAGTTTTCTATATAGTGACTACAGGTGTTGTCAATATTTTGTTGAAACACCTCAGGTGCTGTCTGGGTCTCCTTTATATCACTGTAACAGTTACTGTCACAATGTCAGAAGGAAGAAATTTCAAGAAGGACTTACTTTTCTCTCTCCATCTGCCTCAAGGTGTCATTCCTTATCACCTCCAGGATCATGTTGTAATGTTTGTCATCCTGGGGTGGTGGGTAAAAAAAATGGGGTTAGACAACTTTTCATGTATTCTAACACCACTTCTGTTCATAAACGTATCACTGTACAACCTGTATTGGTTGTACAGGGATCCATTGAGAAATCTATACATTATAATGACATATAAAAATCTCATGGTATAGATAAGGCATGCTGAAATAGATTTTACAAAGTTTGGTACATACAGGATGTGGCAGATATTTGTCCTCGTCATCGATGTTAAGCGCACAGTTCAGCAGGCGTTGGAACGTCTTCTTCATTTTCTCACGATCCCCCAGCGCAAAGTAACACAGGATGAGGTTAAAACCTGGAGAGAGAAAGTCACAGTTACTTCACATCTTCACCAGCATAATAAAAATTAGGTATCATTATCAAATTACTTGTAATTCTAACTAATTATTACATTTCACTCAGGACTGATAAACAGGGAGATACTTTCTGGTCATATGTACAGTTAATAGCAGTAAGAAAATTGACTTACCAGATTTGAAGTCAGGTTTTTCATTCATGACATGTTCCAGGGTGGTGACTGCATCTGAGTACTGCCCCATACGGATGAACACCAGCGCAATGTTCTGCATGATACGTGCCCTAAACAATACAAAGCATTTCACAATTATAGGTACATAAGCCACTCAAGCAAATCTACACTTGGGAACTGTTCATGAACAGAGAGTCCTAAACAACCACTGTGTTTGGACTAAGGTTATTAAGAATTCAAATAACTATTCAGAAACCATTGCCAGTTGCTTTCATTTCATAGCTGGTGACAGTCAATAAAATACAATAAACCCAGTAGTCTAGTCATACTTACCAAACTCGACAAAGTGCCCATTACCATATCCCCCTAGTTAGAACGTCCGTAGCCCAAATGAGTGTAAAATATAAATGTATAACTACTTGGAATAATCTCCCGCTCCACCTAAAATGTTTAACATCAATAATTAGCTTTAAACGAAATCTTAAAAATCACCTACTTTTCTTTCCCACCGACATTTGATATCTTATTACTTTGATTTCATCTGTATAAGTTTGAATTTCTTTTTAAAATTCATTAATTTTTTTCTTGAGTTGTTGCTTCAATTCTGCCAATGTCTGTACTGTAGTTAAAGTTCTGTTAACCTATGTTCTAACATATCATTTCTAATTAGCGTTATTTATCAATCACTTTTGTTATTCATTGTTACTATTTGTTTTGTTACCATTATCATATTGATCATATTGATCAAATTTATTAATTACTTATTGTCATTTATTATTACCATTTGATTTGTTAGCATTATTTCAGTTGTTAATTAATTTTGTCGGGGAAGATCCCAGACAAGCCACTATGGCTTCATATCTTTCCCCAGCATTTTATTTTATTGTCAGTAATATGTTCATTTTATTGTTCTTAAATATATGCGAACCAATAAACAAACAAACAAACAATGACCAGTGCAGGTTAGGAGCAGGTAGACATCAGAAATACCTGCACGGGTTCAATTATTACCTGGATTAACCTGCATATGCAGGTGGTATTTCCAGCCCTGTCTCCAAATAAAATTCAACCTGATGTGGTAAATTTTAATAGGTAATAAAAATCTTTGCAACAATCGTATCATTTTCCATTATTCCCACCTCATCTCCTTGTGTGCGGTTGGCACCTGGTCCAGCGCCATGCGGTAGAACTTGATGGCCTTGGCGTAGTTGCGCTGTTTGAAGTAGATGTTACCCATGTTGACGCGCAGACGGCCGGCGTTGCTGAACATCTTGTTCTTCACGATGACCGTGTACGTGTTCAGCGCCTCATTGTACATCTCGTTAGCTGCGTATTGATTGGCCAGGTTGAAGAGGACCTGAGAAAGCAAAAGATTATGGTTCAAGCTACTTCAGAATCTGTTTTGACTTTGAGAACCATTTTAAAAGTCTACAACATTTTTGGAAAAGTTACTAAAACAGCATATACATGTACGAAAAATTCTTCATTGCTAGGAAGGAAAGCAAGACAGAAGAAAGGGAAAAAATGGAAAAAGAGATTTCAATTTAGTTTAGAAGACAGAATGCTATGTATAGTATTAACAGGTTCATTGTACTAGAAAAATCCCCCTTTGGAACACACACCATGGACTACAGCTTAATGCTCTGTTCAAAGGACTACGACCCTTTCCAGTAGCATGAATGTCCCAAGCAACAACAGCCGGGATTCGCACTCCCAACCTCTTGGTCTAGAGGCAGGGTCACTGACCACTGCACTATGCAAGCTACCCTATAATAAAAAAGTTAACAACAACTGTGATTCAGATTACTTACGGAGTAGGTGAGATCCAGGTTGATCTGTTCGCCGGACGCCAGCTGTTCACGTTGTCGGACCAGCTGTCTCTCCTGACGTCCTGCCTCCTTCGCCTTCTCTAGCGCCTGATTGGTCGAGAGGACAAGAACCGTGTTTTATACACGAAGAGGGAAGATTGGTGTCTAAACAAGTCTTATTCCCCAAAAGTGCTCCGTTCAGAATAATTTGTACCAGTCAATTGCAACCAGCACTCTACCTGCTAGCTTATTGCACCAGTTATCAAGCAAAGAGAATGTGCAGTTGTATTTACTGACAAGGCTGAACTCTGTTGTACTATTGGCCATGTGTGTACAGCGTTTGTCACATGTATACATCACAGGTGTGTCTGTATGTATCACATGTACTATGTATGTATCAAATGTGTACTTAATAGAGTGTTGACCATGTGTGCATCATGAGTGTACTATGAGTGTCACATGTATTTACCATGTGTGTACCAGGTATGTTCTAGGTATGTACCAAGTGTGTACTTACCAGACTGAATCCCCCCGACTGTTAGCCATGCAGCTTTCTTCCACAAGCTCCATCACCTTCTTCTCTAACTGTTTCACCTTCTCCTCAGGGCTGGGCATTGGAGGGAATATTATCACCATTTTAATATTAAGATATATGTATGTAACTTAAAAAGTAATAAACTGGCTATTCAGTTGAAACTAGCTTCACTGCACTGTTCTGTCATTTTCCTTCTTTTTTTAATTCTACATTTTTGTTTTTAAATCTTGACAGAAATGTTTCTGCACACACCTGTCTTCTGCCTTAGCCTCCAGTGGAGGTGCTGGTCCCTTGGCCTGGTTCAGAGGGTCAAACTGCATACCTGTAATGTAAACACAATCACCTTTATCTACACCTGACAGCTTCAGACAGGTAACTGAAAATGTCACACACCTGTGTTCACCTGTCTACATAATACAACAGTCCATAGGGCAATGTTACAAATGATTTAAGTTTTAGTAGCAAAATTCAGGAAGAGATTATTCTACGGATAGAACAGAATATAGAAGCTGACCACCCCTCTTTACCTCGTGGTGCAGACGAGTACCCAGCTGCTCGCACTGCTGTCATGGGCCGTGCCACTCCATCCTAGGGGGACGAAGAAAATGTGTAAAATATCACATACCAGTCACAAAAAGCACTACAACAGGACTGGAAAGTAGTGAAGTTTGATGGTAAAAAAATATAACTCAACATTTAGATGATTTCCACCACCATGTTCATCAGCAGATGGCATTGGCAATACATGTATTTCAATATACAAGTAGCAATTTACTTTCTTACATTTATACGTGGTACTACTGTCTACTGACCTGTGCTCCCGTAGTCGGCCGTCCCATAGACGACACCATGCCAGTCTTCATACGCTGTGCTGCAGTACCCAACGGTCGTGGACCTGCGCCTAGCACAGGCTTCACAGATGCAGTCGGCTGAAATAAACAGGAGGCTGATCATGATCTCTTATGACTACATAGAGGTCTTTGTAACAAAGAAAGTATTTAACACTAGTCTACAACTATGCTAACATCTCTAGTGACCAATACAGATATAGGTGAGGATGAGGAACCCTTTGCAAGAAATTGAAGAATAGTGCTAGAAATTACACATTTAAACTCTATGACATTGAAAACATTGCAAAGTGTCCCCTACCGGTGGCCGTCGTCCATGGCTGGTTTTGACCGCTTGTTGGAAACCTTCGTCGTTATCGATGTCTTCGTCAAACTGCGGGTTGTAGTCGTTGTAGCCGGAGTAGATGTCATCCTCGTCCTCCGGCACCAGGTGCACATTCCGCATCATCTTGGGACCTTGAAGTTTATCTCTTAAAACGTACAAAAAGTAACGTTATTATACTGGAGTAGAATCTTCGTCCATGCGTCACGATTACCGAAGCGCGACCGAAAGCTCTCCGATTATAACCGGAAAGGCTACCGAGCGTTCCCGACGGCGGTAGCGGACATTCCCGACTATATCCAAGATGGCCGCCAGCTTGTGCGACTAGCAATTTTACTACTTTTCTGTCGCGCTGTGGAATATTTAGGCTGATCTAAACATCGGCAACCCGGCCAATTGTGGAGTTATATTGTAGGGAAGCTTGGGACAGCAAAAAAACGGGTCAAAAACGGAGCATCGTGCAGCCAACGGGAAATGTGCAGTTCTGCCAATGGATCTTTCCACGACTCTTGCTGAGGGTAATGCAATGTAAGCCCGAATCAAGAGTCGCCACGGCTAGCAGGAAACTAGCCGCGGCAACGACTGTTGCAGGACTTCTCTTGCTTGCAGGGTATCGCTTGCAGTCTTTTACATTGTTGTTAGGGCTAATGTAAAAGACTGCAAGCAAGAGAAGCCCTGCAACAGTCGCCGCGGCTAGCAGGAAACTACTGTAGACTTCAATTACGTTTGGGCTGCTCTTCTTCGTCAACTGACCGCGGATGATAACTTTATTTCACGACAAGTAGAATCTATAATTTGGGGACAGTAAAATGCAAGTTGCAATATTACAACGCGTTTCGTCATAGACATATTAAAACTTGAATGTGTGAGCTTAGCTCGCCCCCCTCCCCACCTGTCAATCTTAAAATTTCTCCGCGTTTTTTCGGTCCAAATCTACATTTGTGTCCTAAAATCTTTACCCCAATACGGTGATCTGGGTGATAACATTACAATGTTCCATGCACGCCGATATCCAACTTGAACTTACTTAGTTATTGCCTGGAAACCGCTCCCCTGATCAGAAAATGACAGTCTTCGCAGAAACTTTTCGAAGCTAGGTATTTCCCTTCCCGACGTTCCTAGCGGCTGTCTCTATGGTATCAATACACGGTACTGCAGCGACGTCTACAGACCAAATAATGTACTGCAGCCTCACACTCACGTGTCAAAAGCGACCTCTAGCAGGTGAAAGGAATTACGCAGCTAGATCGCTGCGTGTTGCATCACTGTTATAAAAGGTACGTGACTAGCCTGGCATAAACAAGCCATTTTAGAAGGAAAGGATGCGTTTTTAAATAGCTTTGGCGTTTTTCTAGAACTAAATGAGGGTTCACCGACTAGAAAAGCCCCTGGTTTTGTGTCATTACTGTGGAAAACGTCATCGCTGTTATATGGCTGTCATATATCCGATGCAAATCGTGTACAAATCGTTCTGAATATTTTACGTTTACTACGATCCATCCACATAACGCATTTAGATCACAAGAAAATATGTAACTAGATAGAATCAGCCTTTCCGGGCAACCATTGACGCTGGTCAACGTTTGATATCCCATTCAGTGAGCGACCACAGCATGAAATGTCAGGATGGCCGAGTGGTCTAAGGCGCCAGACTCAAGGGTGGAAGTCCCTTCCCAGCATTCAAAGCGAGGGTTCTGGTCCCCGAATGGGGGCGTGGGTTCGAATCCCACTTCTGACATTACTTTTTACACTGTCTTTTTATTGCAACTTGCATATATTTTTGGTCATACACAATTTAACATTTTGACACTTGATCGAAAACATCCATTCACCATTTTTTTTCAAGTAGCTCTAGGGGGGAAATCGTGTCATATTGTTTTGTTTACATACCATACAGTATGCCTGTATTTTAATACTTCAAAGTTACAATTAGAAATCAAATTACAAATTTCTGGATGTAGACAAAATGGGCCAAAACTCCATATTGGGATGTTAGCAATGAAGCGCACAACACTTTCTTGCTGCAGT